CTGATAAACTCACGTGACTGAATAGATCATATTATTAAGTTTCATAATATTTCCATATGTTAAGGTCTTAAAGTGTTCAAACATTAAGTGAATTTTTAGCGACGTTCTACTAAACATTTCTGTTTTCTTGTTGTGTGGATTTGAAGTTTGGTAACTCGAAGTGCTTCATAGTTGAGTCATGCTCTACTATTTTTATGATTGACCTTATGTAATAATTACTACCTGATATTTAGTGAATGCTTTTGGACGTTCCACTATGTCATATTAATACATAAATGAGAGATGTTGTTTTCCTATGATCATACCGACTTTGATTAATATCAAATCAACCAATAAATGATTGATTTCTTCTTACTAAAAAACACTAAATTACATTATCTTTCTGAAAAGAAATTTGATTTGAAAATAAGAACAATAATTTTATAATGAATAAAATATTAAACTAACGGATAAATAATGACAAAACTCTAATAAACTGTGTTCAGTGAAATTTCATTTCAGTAGTTTAACAGTGATTCAAACGTCGGGAGACTTGGAGTTCATAGACCCTATCTCATGTATAGTTGGAGTTAGTATTATGTTTATTTTAGGAATACTGTGTTTAGGATGATGGTTATCATATGTAAGCAAATCTCATAACTAAATAACACTGAACGGCCGTTTCGTCCTATTGTGGGACTCAGCAGTGCGTATCCACGATCCCGCCATATGCTCACTAGTGAATGGCTTTAAGAGGTATTTCCTGGAGTTCTAGTGAGAAGGAGTTACCAGTGGAGTTCAACCGGGTCTTTTATGAGATAGTAACTTACTGCGGAGGAAGAAATCAGGAAGAAGCGCTGGAAGTGCATAGGACACACATTGAGGAAAGCACCCAAATGCGTCACAAGACAAGCCCTCACATGGAGTCCCCAAGGCCAAAGGAAAAGAGGAAGACCAAAGAACACATTACGCCGAGAAATGGAAATAGACATGAAAAAAATGAACAAGAATTGGATGGAACTAGAAAAGAAGGCTCAGGATAGAATGGGTTGGAGAATGCTGGTCGGCGGTCTATGCTCCATTGGGAGTAACAGGCATAATTAAGTAAGTAACTTACTGTAGACGATGGTGGATGTGTCAATGAATTTCGTGGATTAGTTTAAGTTAGATATTAACACCGTTGGATGCCGGCTCAGTGGCCTAGTGGTTAAGCGCCCGCGCGAGACTGATAGGTCCTGGGTTTGAATCCCACAAGGTGGTGTCGTGGATGCGCACTTCTGGGGAGTTCCATGCTAGGACGAAACGTCCGCCCAGTGCTTGCAGGTATTCCGGGGTGGTCTAGCTTCAATTGACTCATGATCTAAACTATTAAAATTACTATAATATCCACAATACCCCTTTTTATACGTAAGGTATATATGCATATTTGGAATACAGTGTTTATATCTTAATAAGAATTTTCGAAACCTTGATGCTGTTTACATTTAGATTTATTTCAGTTTATCTACTAGCCTTATTCTCGTTTAAATGTTACATTACAAATAAAATTTTATCTGTTCTCATTTAAGAAGAATATTTTTATACGGAATTCATGTAGTTATTTGACTAAATATGTGATAACCCTTTTATCTAGTATTCATTTCGTCTTTGTAAAGTCAAATATTCTTTTGTATCTCTCCGCCATTGATGGGGATAGTGATTAGAAACATCTAAAAAATTAAATTCCAATTAATGAGGATACTTAAACTGTAGAATTATAATCAAGTCAGCTATGAGAAAATTTCAATTCAAAGTGATCCTAATTTTTTAGTAATGTTATCTTTAGAAATCCTTATTCAATTAGAATGTCATAAGTTACTTATAACATACGCGTTATACTACTGAGAGAAGCAAAAAACGTAAGAAAAAATGAAGTTTTTAAAAAAAATTTTCTCCATTCACTGATATTAAATCAAGTAAACAATAATACTTTATCCAGAATCATCTAGGCGGAAATGATATGATCAAACCGATTTTGATTGTACTAAATATTCTTTGTTTCTCTTTACTGTTCAAAATTGTTTTAATTTAATTCACTTATTTGTTCTTTGAAGAAGTCACCAACATTAAACTGTAAAGCATCAGAAATTCAATTTTCTATTCACTACGATATTGGAAATGTATCATTTTATTATCATACATTACTTTTACACTAAAAACACCCATACACAATATCCTTCATGATTATTACTTGTTTAATAATGATTAAATTAATTACTTTTTGTTCATGTTAACTAAATTGAATTCATTTGTAAGGGTTTATATTTTAAAAAAACTTTGGTGGATATCTGGATTCAGTAGCTTGGTGTATAACTCATTGCTCTTTGAAATAGTAGGTTCCATTTCGGAGTCTGAGTGTACAAATCAACACTGGAATTTAGGCACATTCAGCTGACGAATGCTAAACTGGATGAAACACATGTCCTGGCTTCTACTTCTGATCACAATCCAAATACATAAAACATCAATTTTTCGAAAACATTTTGGAATCCGACCAATATATTAAATACACAAAGTAAACTAAATAAATGCTGACATATTCAAAAATTTGTTTGCAAGATTGAACTAGGTAAATGAATCGGACATGAAACAATAACGAGTACCAGCGTATGGACCTAGTCGTTTCTCATTATACGAAAAACAGATCTTCTGGATAGACCGTTATGTTAAATACAGCAAACAGCACTTGAATACATTATTTCAATTATGTTTCATTGACCCCCAAGTTTACTTCGATAAGCGTTTATTCAATAAAGCTATTTGAAATCCACAATATTTAACTCACATCTATCGTATAAGTTTGACGCGATTCACCCTGGTTATTTTGGAGGTGTTGAGTTCTCTGGACTGGTTGGTTGAATCGTGAAGCTTTCATTGTCTTTATAAACGTCATCTACATATACTTCAAAAAGAAGCGAGCTATTAGAATTTCTCCATAAATGATTAATATGCTAGTTCTATTATGATGAAACCATCCAGCTTAGAGAACGAAACACTTTCAAAGTCGCCCGATTGAGCCACGCTTATTCACTATAATCATTCTATTTATTGGTATTTTATTTAAATCATTTGATTTGAAGTAGTGGTTACATTATTAAAAATTGTCTTGTATTTTATACCTAAATCATTGTATTCGGTAACGATCAACGATAAGTTATTATATTAATACATACTTCATCATTCTGATATATTCGTAAAAATTTTGTTGTCATTTCAATCTTTAAGCTGATTGGGATGTTGTTTTAAAAGAAATGTTACGTTACATGATAATGTTTATTCATTGTTAATGTTTCCTCATATATATATGCGCGATAGTATAGCTTGATGGTAAATTCGTTGAACAGAGATTCCTTCGCTGAACTTCTTGTTTTTTGATGCGGTGCAAAATAATTCCAAAGATATCCATTTTGAGAACCTAGTACAGTCCCACGAAATGCGCTTCAGTGTCTTGATCGACCTCAGTCTGATAACATTTAACTTCTGTAACAGGCACCGTGATTATTTGGTTAGTGCCTTTAATGATAGATGTGAACTGCCATCGTTTTACATAAATCTAAGAATTTAAAAAGTTTATTAAATAGTCTACTTTTAGTTCAGAATGACCTATGAGTTTAAATAAAGTGTGAAATTTATACACTTGATCCTAAACATCTGAAGATATAATATGATAATTCCCCAAAATTGTTTTTCACTGGTTTGATTATTTCTGAAGACTGTGGATACAGCTAAATTTTTGGAAAATTCTACTACCTACTGAGAATAGTATTAAGACTACATTTCCAAATATTCCATAAATGTGGTATCTGTTTATATAATTCATAGTGAAATAAAAGTATCAGTATAAGTGATAAGAAAAAGAATAAACGAGAATATTATCATCATCGATTTGCTGAAACTCACCTGTCTAGTAGTAATTTTTTCAACAGAACTAAATCACATGCCACGCATTCTAATCCGCTGTCAGTGATCTTCGAGCACCATGATAAATTCAATGATATTAAACGTTTTAGATTTTCACATATCACATCTAAACCGTCATCAGTTAGCTTGCTGCATCCACTTAAACTCAAAACTTGTAGGTTGTTCAGTGTATAGGCCAGTGTCATAATACCTTGATTTGTTACATCCATACACTGAGTCAATTCCATTGTATGCATATTAATTCGTTGTTTTGTACTGAAATAACTTAATGCTGCATCTGTTATATGATAAGCTTGAAATTTAAAACACTTTAATTCTGGTAATAGATGTCCAATCGCATTCATACTTTCATCTGAAACATTGATGCAATCAAACACTGTTAAACATTCAATGCTCGGTAAAAGACAAGACCAAAATGCTAATTCAGTAAAATCGTTACAACACTCAAATTCCAATTGTTTTAAAGAAGGAAATAAATTTATTAAACGTGACAATGATTGATCTAGTATACTACATGATTTAAATATTATATGAGTGAATTTATGTGTATATGATGAATTACTATTAATGTTCTCCAGACTTGAGCGATTTGAAGAAATAGAGTTTTTAGAATCACTAATTTTTTTTAATCTCCATGTATCACTCGATGCTGAAGGTGAATCAGTATTTAATGATAATTTATTTTGTATAGCATAGTTTACTGTTATAAGACTATTGTCTTGTATAAAACCATTTTGTTGTTGTTGTTTTTTCACCTGGTTTTGGAATGAATTAATAAAATCATTTGTCTTTAACATTGGGTTATTATTCTCGTCTTTTTCATTTATCCATGTTGAATAGTTTTCATTTGATGTCAATAAGATTCGGTTGTTGAATGTTTTAGTTTTAGTTAAGGTGTTTGCAACTGTTGTATTTATCTGAGGGAAATACGTTTCTATAGTGGAGGATTGTGATAGTGATGTCAAAATTACGTTGTGATTTGGGCTTAATAGCATTTCTAGTATATTATACAATACTGAACTAAATCTCTCAACTAACTGTACAATTTTAATGGTTTCCAGGTGTCTGTTTATAGCGGATACAATGCGAATTCGAATAGAATCTTCTAAATAACTGTACAATAAATCATTTGGCAATGGAATGTGATCACTATGGTTTGAAATAATAACTGGATCTTTATAGTCTGCATATTGATTCGATTTTGAATCCTCGTGACTGTTTTCTATTTCCCTAATTAATTTTTTGATGTTTAAAACGAAGCATAATTTATTCTGGAAACCATTTAAACACATAAATTCATACCATGTACGGCATACGATTGAATAATGAATCAGTTCATTTCCAGTTAAATAAAAAAATATATTATTCATGAAATTCTTATTCAACCATAATGATTCGATTGTATGTGGACAACCCCTTTTTTGACGTCTTACATAATCTCGATAACGTGTACATGATAGTTTCTTAACTGGAATGTTTAAATTAATTCGTAGTCCTTGATTTACTAATCTTTGTTTTATGGCAGCTACTGTTGTTCCACGATGAGATGATAAGGGTGAAGAAGACGATGAAATTGAATTATTTGAATAACGATTGGATGTATAGCCGGTAGAATCGCTACCATTGATACTATTATTGTTACTAACAATACTGTTTTTACAGTTACGTGCAAGAATAGCTAAACGATGTGTCATAGTCGGCGAAAGTGTAGCTTTGAATGTGAATGGGGAATCTGTTAAACTATTTATATTACTATGAGCACGTCTGTCATTAGCAGCATTGCTATCTGATGAAGGCTTATTTTTCATTGTAAAACTATGTCTTGGCACTGGACTACTGGGTAACGAGTTTGAGATCTTCGAATTCGATAATCGATAATCAGAATAATTTGAAATCACAGTTTTTAACGAATCACTATTTACAAATCCATTAGGTATAATGTTTTTTCTATTTTGTGTCATTGCTATTGTGCTAGAAGAAATTGTAGGGTTTTCAAGGGAATTTATTTCAGAATGTTTTACAACCACTGACTTCCCCGATAATGATGAGTCTTCTTTTTCATCTGAAATTCTACCGCCAAGATTTGTGCTATTAATACTAGTAGTATTGCTATTGGTGTTACTTGCATCGCTAGCAGTGATGTTATTAGGGATAAAGAACAGTTTATTACAAAGGGTACATTTATCATCTGTAAAGTGTTCACTGTTCTTATGATTCTTCTCAAACCGATTTTTTTCTTCAGTTGAATTAATAACGGAATGATGATTGTTAGTTTTAGAATTATTGGCTACAATTCTGTTAGTGACTGAAATAATATATTCATTTGTCATCGGGTTTTTTATTGTATCCGATTCAAAATTTAAAACAACTGATGACTTAGTCATTGTAGCTGTTGAATTGTTCACTGTGACCGTGGAAGAAGTGGTTGTAGCATTTGATTTATTAAAACGTAAATTTTTCAAATTGTTAGAAAAGTCTATACATGCTTTGGCAAATGATGTCATATTGTTACAAACATTCCTGAGGTAACTAGGATGAAAAATAAAAAAAAGCATTACGAAACACCATTAATAAGTTCTGAATACACGTCGCATGTTTTTTCATTAAGTTACAGTTTACTCATTTAAGACAACTCTTATTATTTTCCCAAACATAACGCATATCCTTCACTCAGTTGCAACGACCAATTGTGGGAGAGAACAAACCATATCCCAGCGGAGGAAGAAATCAGGAAGAAGCACTGGAAGTGGATAGGACACACATTGAGGAAAGCACCCAAATGCGTCACAAGACAAGCCCTCACATGGAATCCTCAAGGCCAAAGGAAAAGAGGAAGACCAAAGAACACATTACGCCGAGAAATGGAAATAGACATGAAAAAAATGAACAAGAATTGGATGGAACTAGAAAAGAAGGCTCAGGATAGAATGGGTTGGAGAATGCTGGTCGGCGGTCTATGCTCCATTGGGAGTAACAGGCGTAAGTAAGCAAATATCATTCTTGGGTAATAGCAAATTCAAATGAATGATAGTAATATCGTATCACGAACACATAGAAGAATGTAATTAGCAGTAGGTCGACCGTAACTACAGCTAGACTTAAAGTTGGAAAGAACAAAATTGTTGTGTTTACTTTTTATTAAGTTCTCTGATTAATTCATTCCTCAAGTTGATCATCATTGTTTCTATGATGTTGAATATTTTAAATTGATTGAAAGATGAATTGATGAAGAATATCCCATGTATTGTGAGATTCCACTAATAAACTCTTATTTTTAATTCTTGATAAAGAAATTTTGTCGATAAGCTCTATCTCTATAATTCAAAAGTATGTCTATGTTCACTTCTGTTCAAACTAATAGTGCGAGTGTCAGTGTAAGGTTTATTTTCGTTTAGAAAAAAATATATTGTTCAACTTAAAATTATATGTAATCACGTTTGTAAATCAAATTGTATTCTTCAATCAACAGGGTTATTGTCAGGTGTGGGTTGAATACTACACATTTTCTTAATGTATACATGAATTTGGATTTACATCGGTCCAACAAATGTATGTCAGAGAAATATGTCAGTCAGTTCTCTGTTTGAAACTCAAATAGGCGTTGACAGTCATTGGTTAATATTGTGTCTGTCAGGTGAAACTATCTAATATGTTAATTAAACCACAATAAAAATCATCTATCACTACTGAAATAGCTTTGTGTTAATGGTTATGATACTTTAACTAGGATGTTAAGAATCCATGTTACTATGTTCAGATAGAGGATTTAAAAAGTATGGCTACTTTTTTTATTTGTTCCAGCTAATATCTGTTTTCAGATGACCTTGTTATTTGTAAATTAAACTCACCAAAATGACTAAAGACCACTGAGAAAATCATTTCTAACCATCAATATAATCAAAGAACAGTAGCATACCATAACTTACTTAAGTATATTATACAGCCACGTTATTTAACAATAACTATATATTATGGATTGTATTAAAAGACAATGCAAATCTTTCATTTTAATCATACGTTTAAAGTGAAGGAACAAGCAGCTGTACAGCATACTGTACAATGTTTATCAACAGACTGTAATCATCATCAGAACAGATAAAAGAAGGTAAATTAGTAATCAATATGAGTATAGAAATATACAGTTGGAACACAGTTGGTTGGATTTTTGGATAGGAATTTTGTTATGAAATGAATTTCCACACAACATATATACCTGTTAATGTTTAAAAGTATAGAACTGTTTGCAAACCTAGCTGATTAATTTTCATGTGTATTCGAAACCGTCATGTTTCTTTCCTCGTATTTTGAAAGTTAGTTTATTAGAATCTTAGAATGACAATTTTGGGATAACTCATTGAGAGTTTATAAAACAATTTAACTTGTTTCAAATAATATATATAATATGGAGAGCCAATCAGAAGTAGCCTAATGAGAAGGCCAATCGATGGCAATCAGATGTTACCTAAAGTACAAGTACATTTCATTGGGTAAGGAATGGATCAATTTCCTAAGAATTAGAATGGTATATATATGAATGAGTATCTGTGTATTTTATCCGGCAGCCCAAAACACTTTCTCGCTTACTCTTGTGTTCTCGCTTAAGTATTCAGTGGTAGGGTTAGTATGTAGCATATCGTGTATCAGTATCATACATATATATAAATATATAGTAGTTTTGGAGTGGAAAAGAACTGTGACAGAAATGTTGTCTTGGTCACATGATTAATGTCTTTAAATTGTTTCCAATTTTATTGAATTAAATTTTTTATGTAGTCCATTTAAAAAATATTTCCATACATTAACTTTTTACTTTAAAACAGATGGCAAACTACATGAATACAGTAGTTACGAAAAGATAATTTCAATAGTCTTTGAGTTATTTGTTAATAATTGCCATAGAGATAAAATTTAGTAAGATTTACTATTTAAACAAAATGATTAAGTGACTTAAGTGAGAATAAACCGAGAAAAATATCACTTCATAATTATTTACGTTTCAACATGAATGATAAGTAGGGACATTTTTTATTGAAATGTTAGCCGAAAACGCATGTGAGAAATAGTTTTGTGTATTAATTACAATTGTGATTAGATTAATATCATAAAATGAATCATTGTTAAGTATACAAATCAAATAGAACCGAAACCAGAAATTAAATTAAGCAATGGCTATCATGTATAATCATCATTACGTCTTCATAGATATTTTTATACTGAATGCTGTAAGCTATATGAACACTGCTGTTGAGATGAGTGGTGTGTAGCATGCTAAAAATACCATGTCTTAATTTGGAACTTCTAGCAGAGCCTTTCCGAAATGTTTTTATTCTAATCAGCTTCAAGGCTAAAGCTAAATTGTCATGTGTAACTCACGTTCAAACCACGCTAATTGACTAGCTATCTTCAAGTCAGCGGTTCTATGAAATTTAGTGTCCTAAATATTCAAAGTAGACTGGAGTTTTTTTGTGGTTTTTGAGTTACGATTGAGAATTTATATTAATCAGTTTTACTTTTGTATACCAAAAACTGTTATTACAAGTCATGTGATGTAAAAATATGTTTACTTTTTAATTTAGACTTCAACAAAATTACTAATTTAAAAAAAAGAATCTAAATCCCAATGGAAGAATTTAATGGATTTAAAAGTTAAATTTATTTGGGTTGATAAATAGAATTTTCGTTGAGCAGAAGCAAAATTCTGAACGTGTTTCACTCTTTCATTCGTAGAATTTAGTTGTAAACTCTCTTTTTTTTCTAGGCGACATCATCAATACATATTTCAAAAAAAGAAACTAGAGACCAAACTATCTGGCACACAAGAAGACAACACATTTAAAAGTTTATTTCGGTTGATAAATTCTTACCAAACAATATTCGTTCAGAATCATTCCAATATTTAATTTCATTGTTGATATGCTTGATTTTTTGCGACGTATTGATTTCTTTGGTATAAAAATAATATTTATAATCAATGTTATCCTATATTGAAACACTTTATTTTTGCAGTAAACAACAGTGTTTGGGGGGAGGCAGGGGGGATACCATTTAAGTTATCGGTTATAAGTTTGGGAAAATTAGTGGATAGAAAATAGAGAACAAATTAGTTTTGATAAATGAGATAAATTTGACTAATTAGATGAAAGAAACTATTTAATGAAGTTGTCAGTCAGTTTTGTTTTTCTATTAATTAGATAATTATTTAACTTATTTAATTGCAATACATATGTACTAGTCTAAGCCGAATGGAAATGTTTGTATTCATTTCAAATGGAGAACTTATTTCTTATTTATAATTTTAAAAAAATGTTGATTGTTTATAAAAAGAAAAGGATGTAATTCCGAATATTGTTGTATTGTAATAAGGAGCAATTTGGCGTTCCCTGATTAAAATAAAAAACAAAACACAATGATAAACATAATGCTAATTATATATTTAGAAAATACATTTGGATTAGTGCTACACTGATTTGTTCGACAAAGTTTTAGTTTAGAGTAAATAC